TTATGCAAGATAATAGAACAAAGGCAAAAGAAATGAGAGATATAGTAGTTTGATAGAGAGGAAGTACATTACAACAAATTTATGAAGAACATCTTGCATACTTGCTATTCTACTATGTTTTTTTTTTTTTTTTTTTTCTATGCAAAGAACTTGGATGGCATGACCAAATGAGACATAGAAATATAAATGCCAATGAAGATAGGAATGAAAATATGTGGATTCTATATATTACTCAAATAGAATTTTATTCATACTGATTGTTTGTATGATATAATGAATACTCAACTATCTTGTAAGCCAAAAAGATGCTACAAGAATTTATTACGCATACTTTGGTAACAAAGAAAAATTGGTTATAATACTTCAACATGAATCAAGACAAGTTATGTGCAAATGTATATAAAAAACTGGCAGATATTTTTGAAAATATACAAAACTAAAATATTGACATACATAATCTAAGACAAAGGATAATTCTTATGTCATTACATATTAGAAGTACTAGAAATCTATTTGAGATTTTTCAAGATTTTATGGCTATTACTCAATATTTTCAACATCCAATTATATTTGGTACAATGACTACAAATCCATAATAGCCAGATATTTCAAGTGCTTTCTTTCTAAAATAAAGGCTTAAAAATCATTGTGACTTAGAAGAAAGACTATTTAAACTTAATTATTGTGCATTAATTAAAGATATTTATAAATATTATATTATTTAACATATACTTGTAAAAGTATAAACTATGAAATTTTAGAAGTAAGGTCTTTTATACATATACTTCTTACTTTTTTAAAAATAAAATAGTAATATAAAATATTTAATTGATATTAATAGGATTATTTGTACAAAGTTTTTTATTAAAAAAGAAGATCCATTGTTATTTGAAATAATTAACACTTACACAGTTCATAGTTCATGTGGACTTTGAAATATGCAAGTTCTATGCATAAAGGATGGAATATGTCAAAAGAGATATGTAAAAGAATATCAAGAAGTAATATCAATAGATGGTGATGGCTCTCCACAATATTGTAAAAAGAATGATGGTAGAACTTTTAATATTAGCAATCATATTATAAACAATCAAGATATTGTTTCATACAATCTTATTCTTAAGAGAAAGCATAATTGCCATATCAAAATTGAAATTTGTGCTTCAATTTGAGTTGTAAAATGTATTCATCAGTATATCTATAAAGAACATAATTATATAATAATACAAATTGAAAACAAAGATGATGAGATTAAGTAATATATTGATACACAATATATTAGAATCCCAGGGTAGCTTGGCATTTGTTTGGAATAAAAATGCATGAAGAAGTTTCAAATGATGTTTAATTGATATTGCATCTTTCTACAATGCATTAAGTAATTTTTTTATCTAAATGATAATGTAGCAAACGTCTTTGCTTGTAGAAAGCGATATAAAATAACTTTGAAAACATTCTTTAAAATATATGAATCTAGAGAAATTGCTTAAAAATACAAATATTAAGCATTTTATAATATTTTATATGGAATAAGATCTCAAAGAAGTAGATAGTAAGAAAACCTGGATTTGCAATTAAAAGGTGATATTTTACTAATTCTACTATGAAAGAAAGATTCTATCTTTGGTTTCTTTTAATAGTGATACATAGGCCATATTCATTTGAAGATTTGCATACTTTAAATAGAGTGCTACAACCAAATTTTAAAAGTGCATGCTTAGAAATGAGAGCTTTAGAAGATAACAAAGAATAGACTCAATGTTTAGAACAAGCATCGTTAATAAAAACGGGAAAGTAGTTAAGAGCATTGTTTATTATTATTTTTCTTCTATGATCACATATACATCTAAAAGAGCCATGATTCAAAATTAGAAAATTAAAAGACCAATAAAAAAAATATTAGATTATAGACTATTTTTTCTTGATAAAATTCTTCAAGAATCAAGCATAATATAAGATTTTTTTTTTATTGATGCCATTGTAAGAAAAAAAAAATTAAATAAAAATACGAAAAATCAAATATTTATGGAATATATGACTTGGAATTGTGACAACCTAAAACAAATGATAGAAAAATATGTGCTAAAGTTGAATGATGAACAACACACTATATATTTGGATATCTTTGCTTCAATGGATAACAATCTTAAAAATCTATAAATTTTGGAAAGACTTGCATAAAGTGGAAAAATATTTATATACAATACAATAGCAATAAAGTTCCAAAGTGATGGAAAAAATATTTAGTAAGTTGCTTCTTTTGAAATTGCAACACAACTTTTAAATAGTGGATGGACTAGATACTTTATATTTAAAATTTTACTTTATCTTAATGAAGATTTGTTTTACAATATTTTAATAAATGCACCATATCCAAATATGCTAAAAAAAGATAGTTCTTATTATTTAGGATGACATACCAATGTAGCATTGCCATTGTACTGAGGTAGCCAATACAACTCTTTAAGATATAAATGGCACTAATAAGTTATTTGGCAAAATTATTATAGTCTTTAGTGGAGATTTTTGCCAAATTCTTCTTATTATCATTGAAGGCTTAAGAAAAGAAATTGTTGATGCTCCTTTGCAACAATCAAAGATTTGGCTTAATATTAAAGTATGCATGTTGACCAAAAATATGCTTCTAGAAGGTGTATCTGATTAAAATCAATTATTTGTTGAAGAGCTCTTAAAGATATGTATTACACAAGACTATTTTTTTTGAGATTTTTTTTTTATGATACAATATTTTTGTGTAATATATCTAAGAATAGTTTCCATTTGTAGATTAAAAATGGATTAATAATTGTAGATCCATTAAAAAGTACAGCGATCCTTTTAAAATATATGAAAGTAGGTTCAATATCAAATGATTTGATTTAAGCTATTCAAAATTGGATGAAAATGGGACATTTAGAGATGAATATTTCACTAACATGTCTATTTTATTTATACAAAATTATGATGTTGATGATCTAAACAAGTGTGTAATAGAGAGATTTTTTAGAGTTTCACATATTTATTTTAGTATAGATATAGCAATTATAGAAGATGGTGCCAATAATGGTAATTATTAACTAACCAAGTATTTTGAATAGCTTAAGTCTATTTGGATTGCCACCATTTTGTTTAGAGCTTAAGGTTGGATGTCTTATTATATTGTTGCAAAACATTGCTTTGCATCAAGGACTTTGCAATGATTTATACATAATTATTATAAAGCTCACTCATTAAATTATAGAAGCAAGTCTTTTATTTAGAGACTACAAGGAACAATTGGCTTTTCTTCCAAGGATTACATTATACTCACCATGTATAGAGATTCCGTTCAAATTGCAGTAAAGATAGTTTCTAATAATGTTAGAATTTGCAATGACTGTTAACAAATCTCAAGAATAATTGTTAAACATTGTAGGAATAGATCTTAGAATCCAAATATTTGAATATGGATAGTTATTTGTTGCCCTTTTATGATGTTTTTTTCCAAATATTATCAAGATCCTAAATCTTGAAAATAATAAAGATAAAAATACCATTGTAAATTTAGTTTATCCAGAATTCTTTTAACTCAACCATTTTATTTTTGTAATAAATTAAAAAAATATATTTTCCAATTACATTGAAAAAATATGAATGGTTCCATCATTATGCATATACTTTCTTTTTTCTTTTTTCTTTTTTTTCCTTGGTCAGCATTTCTTTAGAAGAGGTCAATTTTTAACTTAGCAACTGCAAATTAAACTTTTATACCTTTTGTGGCCAATGGCACGGGTTTCTACTAAGATATATATATATATATATATATATGAGTACTTTTTTTCTTTCCTATAAAAAATAGTGACAGCAAGATAACAAATCTTTTTGATTTTTGCTATGAAAACATTTAACACTCATACTCATATCATTTATCAATATACAACACAAACATGAAAATGAAGCAAAAAATAAATAAAAATATAAAACAAACAAACAAACAAAAATGAAATTGCACTCATATGAGACTCAGAACATTCTCATTCCAAATGCATCCAAAAAAAACCCAGCTCAAAACTCACAACAACCAACCTTATGAGTGACCGACATCACTAAAAACACAAAAAGGCCAATTGAATAAATCCATCCATGAACAATGGTTTTCTTTCCATCCACAAGAGAATAAGACAAAGCTGATGTGCCGTGAGGATGGTCCAATGGAAGCCTAGACATAGCAGGACAATCCACCAATCAATGCAAAGCAATGCCAAGCCATGTCAAACCGTGTGTATACTGTAGCAAGCATTGCCAGCCAAGTCCTCTTCGACGCCGTCTTTGGACTCCGCCCCCCGTCGTCGCGCCTCGTCCAGCATGGGGGTCTGGACCGCTGATTGGGGTGAGGGGAGCACCATGCATGCGATGGCGATGGCAGCAGCAGGCAGATGTATCCCCAAGCGGAGAGAACGGGATGGCGGAGACAGACCGACAGACTGACGGGGGGGTCCATGACGAGACGGGCAGAATCCGAGCTAGAATCGGGCCTTAGGGGCAGCACCAGAAGCAGCATACATGTTTCTACGGCATACGGTAGTGGCGCAAGAGATCATTGGTCATGAGGCAGGACTGCTCTTTCTCATCCTGCTCCTGCTGCTCCGGTGCTGCAATCGAATCTTGTTTGGAATTGATGTCATGCATCGCCTTGTCTCCGACGCCGCTCACGCACCCCGAGGCACCCCGCACAGCGAAGCTGACGTCGTAGGGGGCGGTTCGGCGATTCGCGGAAGCGTATCTCCCATGGCCTCCATGGAATTACTGCCCGGGCGATTACTCACTAGGGCGATCGTCGCCGTCGCGTATGACAGCAGGGGGTTGCATGGGGATTCGGGACGGGTCGCTCGGCAGCGGAGAGCGGAGGAAACGCGGGTGGTCGGACCGGTGGACGGGCGCGCGATCACGAGGAGCAGGAGGAGGAGCATCGGGTGGCTGGTTACCTCAGCTTGGACGTCTGTTTTGACTGGTGGCGACGTGCGAGGGAGAGAGGGATGGAGGAGCAGGAGGGGCAGGGCGTCGGCAAGAGCCTTGGACCGACCGACTGACCGACCTACCGGACAATTGAGATCACCGGTGTGGAAGTTACGCTGGAGAGAGATAGGAGCTGCAGCAGCGTGGAGGAGGAAGCATGGCATGACGCACGAGAATTCATGCGCACTATTACTGCTGGGAGTTTGGGCTAGACTCTGCCGCTGGGCCGGACGAACGGGTCGGAGGGGTGAGGTGTGTGTGTGTGTGGCCGGCGGGGATGGCGTGTCGGGGATCGGACCTGCAACGCCGGGCAGACCGAGGCGAGACGCGAGAAGAGAAAGGCTCTCGAAAGGTGGGTGGGACGGCCGTGACGTTGCGAGTTGTACGAGGTTGACAGGCACGGCGGCGACTGACTGGTCACTCAATTACAATAGGCTGCTGATGTCCGACCCCGGGCCGGGACTTTAGGGTACGAATTGCGGGTGCCGGGGACTTGGTGCGTAACGTGTGAGTCCGAGGTGTCGTGAATAGATTGCAACGGATGTGCAAGAAGCGAGGCATCAGGAGCCAGCTATGGTCTACTCCACGGCACCCGGCCGGTTTTGCTGTCTCGCTTGAGGTCTAGGTGGTTGTTGATCATGGGTTAGGAACAGTCAGACCTGTTGCGAAGCTTGCATTGTGATGATACGTAGTGTCGTTTAGGATGATCGATCGTGTGTGGCCGATTGTGCATTCATAGATGGTTGATTGTCGACGACAGCAGCAGCAGAGGAAACATGCTGGGTTTCCTTTCGCTTTGCCTCGCGCAGGTTTCCGAAGATGGTAATTAAATTTTTTAGGGGCGGGCGTTGACAGTTTGTGTGGTTGCTGAGAGTCGATTAGGAGTTAAAGAACCAGCAGGGTCCAAGGAGGTTATGGGGGCGCAAACCTGCAGCAGGCAAGGGTTGGCAGAAGTCGACATCATTGTGGACATTAGTTGCGGTATTAACAAAGTACGGTGTGACGTCAAAAATGGTCGTTTCGGGTGACGACGACGCGGAGCATTCGTCGAGGATGTGTTCATCGAACGATGCGGCAGATAGCAATGATGCAAAGAGTCTTGACGTTAATACGGGTGTGTCGGACCATCAAGACAAAGACGAGGTTATGGTGGATGCGCATGGCAAAGGAGAAGAACTATCGCCGAACGTCGAGGCACATGTCCCGAATGGAAACGTATCCAAGAAAATGGCAGTGCCGGAATCGGATGAAGCCCAAGGGCGAAATGCTCAGCCAGCGAAAGACCCTGGTGAGATTAGTGACAGTGGCTTGGCACAGGACACAGACCGGTCCGTGAAGAACGGCAGGTCTCGAAAGAGGAAGTCCAAGACTATCCATTACATGAATTCTAGGGTACCACATGCCGTTCCTGCATTGGAGAGTGAGGAAGGCTCCGATGGTCCAGAGAGTCCCGAAGAAGGAGACGATGTTCTTGTGCGTCCTAGTCAGGCCTCGCGTGTAGCTGCCACCAAGGTTGGTGTAATTGATATGTCAATATATTTTGATTTGGAATGTATATGCTCGCTATATGTGCCCTTCATGATATTTGTAATGTTTGAGAATATTTTAAGCCACACTGCGTGTAGTCTATTTGGGCGCTAAAACATTGCAAGCATATCATTGAGCATGTCGTTGCCCAGCCTCCTGGTGTAGTGTATCGATTTCTTTCCACTTTAGGGCAGCATGTTATTTCTTCCTCTTGCCTAGTTGGTCTGATTATTTCAACTCTGGCAACGATACGCTTAAAGGGTTTCGCGCTGAGAGTAAGTTCCTACGAACTCTGGGAAGTGTTGCAACTAGAGAGCAACTTGTTAGTGTAAAAATTGCCACGATAATACGTTACAAGAACTTAGCTAACGTGGGTTTGTGATGTTGGGAAGCAGCTGAAGTCTATGGTCCCAATTGGAGACAAGTTGCTGAAGGCACCAAGAAACGCGAAGGAGCTGATGGCAACCAAGCTTATGGAGGGGCATTTTGTGCGCTGCTCTTGTCGTGGCATGCAAGTATGTGCACATGATAAGTCTTGGTTTTCCCTGAGTTTTAGTAGAGTAATTTTTGCAACCCATATTGTTTTGTTGGTTAATGCTGCTAGAAATCTCGGATGAAGTGAATGTGGGCTTGTCTAGTTTTCCAAGTCTGGAGTGTTTGGTGCAGTATGATACTTGGTTGTTCATGATACTGTTGTGGTATCACAAGCAGTTGTGACATTGATTTTCTGATGTGTTCATTGGTTATCCTTCGAACAGCTCACAGGAATGCTGAAAGACATGGGTGTGCAGTGCAACTGCCGGAATTGTAAGGGTTCGATGGTACGTTGATAACACAACTCTGAAACTTTGTAATTGGTCGTAATGTAGTTCAGCAATATTTTCGATGTAGTTTTTTTTACAGACGAATGGTGAAATGCGGATTCCTTGTTAATATTTTGGCTGTGGTTACTGAGAGAGTTTATGCAGATAGTTTCTATTTCGGCGTTTGAGGCACATTCAGGAAGTACTTCTCATCACCCAAGCGACAACATTTACCTAGAGAATGGGAAGAATCTTCGGGACGTTCTGAGCGCTGGCCAAGAAGCAGCAGATTGTGGAGACAACATACTAAGAGCTTTAAAGATGGCCATAGGAGATATTCAAGGTGTTGAAAAGAGCAAGGTTACTTGCGCAGAGTGCGGGGGTTCAGAAGAGGGTGACCTAATCTATTGCAAAGGAGCAAGATGCTCTGTAGTCTCACATTCTCGTACGTGTAACAAATTCCTTAATGTGCGTTTTGTTCAGGAGATGTGAAAATGATGTCTTGTGCCGGAGAAGTTCGATTGATCCAGTAGTTACGCACGTGTGTTTATCTTCTTGAGCCTCATGTATAATGTCTGTGTGCAATTTAAACTTCCAGGATGTGTTGGAAGTGCGAACCCACAACTTGGCGACTGGTTTTGTGGCAAGTGTGAGAAAACGAAAAAGCGTCATGCTGCAGCGAAAGTAAAGCGCTCCATCTCTGCTGGAACTGAGGATTCCGAAGTGAGGTGAGGGTGCAATACGATGCCTGGAAGTGGATTAGTAGTGGAGTGCTTGCGTTCTACAATTAATCGTGAGCACTCAAGAAGGCAAAGTGTTGTTTATTTGTTTGTTTGTTTGTCTTTTTGTTTTGTTTTTTTGTTTTTGTTTTTATTTTTATTTTGGGGTCTGTCGTGAGGGTTTCGAATATTACTCTTATTTCAATGCAAGATTATGTGATCCATTGCGTTATGAAAACCGGGCACGGCTTCCTATTCTCTGCTAGTACTTATGCCATTGGGCTCCTTAATGCTGAGTTTTTGTTTTATTCTAATCTCCTGAGAGATCCACAGGGATATGCATCAATTAGCGCTTCAAAGAGTACATCTTGTGAGACTTTGGGTATGAATGCTACTTGAAGCAATTTTTAAATGGGTTTGGTGAGCTTTGCAGGGACAAAGCCACAACAGCGTCGGCCAGATTGAACCGAGATGCGCATTTGCGCAAAGCTCTTTTCTTGCCTGGTGGATTGGTGGATGGTACAGAACTTGGCTATTATACAAAATCCCAGGTACTTGGTGTTATCTCTTCAGGTCGCAAGTTTTTGTGCTCCTCAGTTGTGTTGGCTGCGACAATATCACGCAGCGTAGTCTGAGAAGCACGTGATGCAAACATCAGCTGTTCGATACAGTACGGGATCCTTCACTTTCGCGGAGTGTTTGTTTAGTAACTTAAAGAGTGTCTTGGTCAATGTCCATGGTAACCATTTCAAAGTTGGTTAGTGGATTCTTTAGTTGGAGGAAAGCGGTTTGCTCTTATTCGAAGGATTTCTTTGTGGCAGCTGAAACTGAAAGGTGTGAAACGAGGTGAAGGTATATGCTGCAGTTGCTGTAACAAAGAGGTTAGTTTCATTGTGCTTCGAATTTAATCCTAAGCTTCTTGTGGTGAGAGTTACCCATCATGGTGTTCAAACAATTTATACTGCTTATTGGCATCTTGGTTTAGCTGCATATTCTGCAATGAAACTGAACGTCTGCAAAATCAGTTGAGAGAAATTCAGCCTGGTGCATGAATCCTCTCTCGTATCGAAAATTAGGAACGCTCAAAATAGTTGTGGCGGTTTCATGTCCCGCAATCAGTAAGATGGCATGTATAATGTTTCTTGGCAAGGGAAGCGGACGTGGTGAGGACGTCAATCGAGGAAATGAAGTTCTGTAATAGACTTTTTGATGTTTCACAGATAAGCTGCTATGAGTTCGAACAACATGCTGGTTGTGAGGCTCGTCGAAACCCGTAAGTGCTCATTCTTCTTCGTTGCACATACGATGTGGCAGTTATTGGCCAGTTGATGTTTTAGTCTTACGAGATTGAGTATTCAGGATTATCATTTAGATTTCGATAGGCTTAGAGATTAATGCAATTTGGGCAACTAATTCTCGAACTTATGTCTGACAGCGAGAATCTGGTCCATTGATGGAGTGGGTTTATGTTTGTCTGCGCTACAGTGATAGAGCTTGATTTTTATTTTGTTGTTCACTAAATCATGATCAAGTCTTTGGGAATGCAATGACCATTTAGTTGAACTTTGTCAGGGAGAGGGAATAGTCATTGCTTGGAGCTTAATTGACCACGTACTAAACATGGTTTTAGACGCTGTTGAGTACTTTACTGAAACATCTACTGAACAAGTGATTTTGAGCATATGTTGGCACATACAGTGAATATTATCACGTTGGTATAAAATATGCTGAAATCAGTGATGAATATGACAGGTATGGGAACATCTTGTTGGTCGCGGATGGCCGTTCCCTGAAAGACGTTAGCAAAGAGTTGGCGGATAAGAACAAGCTGGGTGAGAAAGAAAAGCGTGATGCACGTGCTGGAGAGGTGTGTTGCTATGAATGTAGCAATAGCGGTGAACTGAAGCGTTGCCACAGTTGTGAGGAAGCATGGTGCGACAAATGTACCAAAGGTGGGGATAAGTGATTCTGCAAGAGCGATCTATGTTTCTGCGTTGTAAATTTGTTTAAACAAGTAGCTGCAGATGCTTGTGGATAGAGCGAAGTTTGGAATTTGCAGTACTGTTTTTGGCTCGAAATTGTAGTGGAGAAGATGTGAGTTGCTTGCCTGGTATCGATTCTCGCTTTAGTTGGAGGAAGGTTTGTTAGTAGCAACTCTGCTTTTGCAATTTTAAGCAGCATTGAGATAATTTCAGAATTTATATATGCCAAGAAATGAAGTCTACGCATGTATTAAATCGGTTGTTAACTTTACATTGATTTCTGCGTCGTGCATAACGATGGTCCAGGAATGGAGACAGATTCCGAGGGCAGGTGGTATTGTCGAATGTGCCGACAGGACAGTCTCAAGGTGGCACAAAATGGACACAAGGGAACTGACAAGATTATAGAGGGAATGTCCAACATTGCAGAAACAGACGAGAAAGGTCGTTGCGTACGCCATTTGGAAGGACCTAGAGAGGTTGGGGGTTGTGCAATCTGCAAGTAAGTGGTGGTTTATCTTATGCAGATATTATTGGCTTTGGAACTCAAAACTGTTAGTGAAGAGGTGGATGTCCATATGAGAGTGTTGTTACAGGTCTTGTAGTCATAAAGACATGAAATCTGTAGTGGTTGGTTTTCTGCTTTCATTGCGGGATTCCAGAATATTGTATAATTGATTTACTTGCTGTATCAACCGTTTTCATTGTTGCATCGACAGGAAATGGAATCTGAGCAAGACAGGTTTCGTTGATGGCATGACGATTCTAGTTTGTGATCAAGTGAGGAGCCTGAACCAAATGCTACCTGGCACTAGGTTTCATTGTCACATCATGATATTTAGCTACTAGCTGTGTGATCTCTCTGGGGATCCATGAAGGGAAGCGTAGGAAACTGTCGGATTCTTCACATATAAGGTTTTGCCTGTCAGAGTTTACCTGCTGTTCGAGGAGGCTTGACTAATGAATCACGTTATTTACTGAGCTTTTATCATTGTTGGCAGTGTGGACGAGAATATCATGTTAGCTGTTTAAAAGATTCAGGCGTAGACGACCTTAACGTGAGTGCCATCTCTCATGTTGTGTAGCAAAAAATATGAAATGAATAGGGATGGTGTTTTTTACGTGCGACCTTGCAAGCTTTCGATTGGATGCAGGATAACATGGAAAGTCAATGGATTCACTGACCCAAATATCCTCATGCAACGACATTGTATCACTTCACAGGAGCTGCCAGAGGGAGAATGGTTCTGTCAGAAGGATTGCAAGGTCATAGATGAAATTCTGACACAATTAGTAGCGAACGGGCCGGAGCTACTGTCCAACAGCATAATAAGTGAGTTGTTGGAGAGTCGGCAGCAGCAGAGCAGTGTGAAGGTGAAATTGGAGTCCAGTAATCCGAGGTTCGGATGGCAAATTCTGTGCGGCGAGGGTGGTAGCTCTGCCAATGTTCAGACTCTCGCCGAAGCTGCGAATATTTTTACAGTACGTCTTGCTAATCATTTTTTACTTTCAAAATGTTTTAGGCACATGAATGAATTTGAATTTGTATCTTGACAGTCTATTGATGATATTAATCTCCCTTATTTGTGGCTTGTCGTTGGAAACTACTCACCGTCGACGCATACTCCTGTTTCGTCCACAGGAATGTTCGGATCCAATCAGGGATGCAAAAACTGGAAAGAATTTGATCCCTCTCATGGTTCAGAGGTATGCCTTGCATGCGGAGTTTGGAGTTGAGATCTTGCGTCAATGGATGTTGAACATTAATGCTGTCGGGAAAAGTGTTGTACTGTAACTGTGGTGAATGTGAAGTGTCACGAAGATATTCATTCGCTGAATGTAGCTCTTGTCGTGTGCAGTCGAAGGGCAAAAGATCACGATTTCGAAGGTGTTTTCTGCGTCGTTCTTAAGCTCAAGTAAGCTCCTGTCTGAATTTTTATGTGAATCATCTGTCAAGAAATTATTGCAAATCTGTCTGATTGGGGATGCTTTTATGACGATGGTAACAAAAATGAGTCAAATGTTATAGGTGCTTGTTTTCTCTCTTTCATTGAGGTTCTGCTTTGGTCGATTTAAGATTCGGTTAGCATCATGTAAATACAAAAGTGGGTTTTGTGTGGATTGTAGTGAGAAGGTAGTTTCAGCAGCTCTACTGCAAATCTTTGGTCGGGAAATTGCGGAAGTTCCTTTGATAGCTACTAGCCTTCCACACCAGGGCCAGGTAATGTCTGCTATCAATTTCTGCTTGTGTTTACAGTCGCTAGTTGGTGACTTGTATTCTGGGCACGGGGTATCGGCAGTCAGCAGCGGTGTTGTTAATGCTGGTAGTAAAGATATGTTTTAGAGATTACGATAGCGGAACTATGGATAGGACAAGACGGGCATGCTTTCTTGCACATCTGCATGTTCATATGTTCGGAAGTTTTAAGATGTGAACAATTGAACACAGTGATTGAGCGATGCTTTATTTCTGTTGAACCAATTGCACTAGTGAGGAGGTGATGAATGATACATCTGAGTTTTAGATTTGCAGTGGTGTTTTGTTTGAATCCCTCTGCATTACGGCTGACAGGGTTTCTGCAAAGCTCTGATGACAACAATTGAGAGGCTTCTCGGGGTGCTGAGTGTGGAACGGTTGGTTCTCCCTACGGCCAAAAATACAGAATCTATTTGGATCAACAAGTTTGGATTCAGCCGAGTGCCAGAGGACCAGGTCAGTAGTTCTCTTCTTTCCAAAACAATTGTCAGTTTCTTGTCTGCGTCTTATGTGGAGGGGAACTAAGAGTTGGTTGATTTTGTGCAACATTTTGTAAAAGCTTCGTGTAAATTGTGGGCTTGTTTGGTGCAGTTGAAAAGAATTTGCACGACTATACGTTTGATGACGTTTACGGGCACGCGTATGCTGGGGAAAGCGATCACTCCAATGACACTGTAAGGGGCAATGGGCAATTATGTCAACTGCAGAAGTAAAAAAGCACATATTTTCTTAGACGCCCTCAAATTTCCTCTTGCTGCACAGAAATAGGATTCAACGACAGAGTCGTGATGGTTGTGTCTGCATAATATGTGATGGTGCTCTGACTATGGATGCACTATCCAGAGGACTGCCGGCTCACCCAGTTTTGGGCACTGTTTTGAGGAGGTTTTTCTGCAACTTTCAATGGACAGTTCGAAAATATGTTCATACAACCTGCTTCAGGCTCAAGTAAAGCACTTCTAAGTGGTTTGTAAAGAGCTCAATGTTCGCCACTTGTGCAAATTGGTTGACTCGCGAGTACTTTCAGATGAAGTCAGGATTTAGGGATACTCTCTATACGGGCTCATTCTTGTGATCCTAAATACAGATGACATGATAAATTTTGGAACTTTGATGTATAATGGGACCAGAACATGCGGTATTATGTTCGTTTGGGATCCTTAGCTTCAGCTATTGTTTGGAGAGAGTGCATTTTAGATTGTTGTCGGATGATTGTGATCTATCGCAGTATCCACCAAGGTTATCAGAAATCGCAGTTCGCACATTTTGGTAAGATTCGTACTAAAGATCTTAGCCCATCAGTGCATAATTCAAGATAAATCTTCATGAAATTGCAGTTTGTACAAAAACAGCTAAAATCATAGCATAATGTAGTGGATGGAATTGACACGATATGTTACGTGCACGTTTGTGAACCAATATAAGTTTTACAAAAGAAAAATAATAATGTGTGAAGATTATAAAATTCAATGAAAAGCAAAAACTATCGGTACTTATAGTTGAAGTCCACGGGAATAAAAAAATTGAAAGAAAATATTTGTACGGTCTTTTAATGAGTGAAATTTTTTAACTCTCCTTTGTGCATAACAAGGTAACAAAGTATCTGTATTGGTATTAACTACAAGTCACTTTGTAGTACCAATGCAGCGATGTAGTGAAATGGACGTCTATGTGGTACAGAGTTTGAAAAGTTAAACATTTTAAAAAAGTTGCGACCAATGGTAAGAAAAACGGCTTTGTATTTTAGTTGTGATTACAAACATGCTGCTTGTAGGTGAAATAAATATTGTTGATATATTTAAAGACATTTTTAGTACACATGAGAGATTATTAACAGGGGATACTGAATAGACACATACTTTACAAAATACTCAATAATGCTTGTTTGTAGTATATTTATATCATTAGTACGATTATTTGTTTTCAATGTCGTAATATTTGTATCTCTATTCAACACAAGTCACAACTAAAGATTGAAAATATATATATATATATATATATATATATATTTTTTTTTGTAATATATTTTTATAATATATATATATATATATATATATATATATATATAATTTATTTTTAAAACATACGAGTTATTTGTAAATGATCTTATTTATTTGTAGAGTAGAATCAATCTCAATCAATGCTGCTTTGGGGTAATTTTATTTTTTCATTTTTTAATATTATATTAAAACAGAACAAATAAATTATAGGCATTTCAATTTTGTCAATCATACTGGAGAAAATAAGCGGATTATAAGTCTACATTTTTATTTTTTTCTTGAAGTATTTTAAATATAAAATCATATTTCATTTTACTTGCCCAAGAATGATCGAGTAAAAATAATCATTTTTTTTAGTTATTTACGAAAAAAAAAAAAAAAAAAAAAACTTCAAAGATGTAAGACAAATCATACATGCTAAAACATATACAACAATATTTGAAATTATCAGATGTGAAATGAAATCACATTACAAAATTATATATATATATATATATATATATATATACACACACTTATGAGTGATAGATTGTAATATGAACTAATAAAATTTTACTTGAAATGAAATTATATAAAATACATCTATATATATATATATATATATATTGATTGATCCAAATAAATGTATATATATATATATATATATAGTTATATAGTTACAAGAAAGATAATAATAATAGTTTTATTATAAATCCTTATCTAATAAAACCTACAAGAAAGATATAATATATATATATGTAATCAATCAATCAATCAATCAAACCAATCTAAATGACCCAACTACTTGTGAGTGATAAATTCCCATATGCAAATAACAAGTTTCTATTGACTAAAGTTTTAATTGGTCCCCCTAAACATTCTCAAGTTATGCAAATAAACAACAAAGTTTTAAGTGTGTGCCTTGTATCTATGCAAGTTAATGTAGAGCATTGCATACAAATGTTGAATAGCCACTCTTTAAGTATTTGCAATCTGTAAGTACAACTGCAAAGCACTCAAGATATTGTGCATATTGTATTATAGGTGAAAGTATGTTGTAGAGTTAACAATGCTATGTTTTATGGTTTTTATAATAAGAATCGTACTATTGTTCCATGATGTCATTACCTACTTTGGTAAAATTGCTTTTTCAAAATAAAAAATAAAAATAAAAAAATCCATATCTTCTACCATCAACAAAAAGATGTGTATTCAAGAAAAACAGTAATTAAAATATAAAGTTGGTAGAGCATTTATGGATAATTGTAACAAAACCATAGGTGTCCGCAAGTATACTAAGAATGTCTATATTTGTCACATTATTTTCATTACATAGTTCCTATTTGACATGCTTGAGCACATTATACTATCCAATATTACAGAATAATCATTAAAAAATTAATATTTCAAACATTTGTTAAGAAACTTGTATATTTATATATATATATATATATATGTATACACACACACACACACACAAAATGCAACATAATGTTCGTAAGATTATTATTTCAAACAATACAATCTATGATTACAATATCTCAATTACATTAATATCATAGTTTGTTAAATTATGTACTTCTAAGTTAGAATATGGTTTAGCACAATAATTATAATAATAAATTATTTTTTAATATTAATATTATTAAATTATTATTAAATTAAAAAGAAAAAACAGTAAAAATAATAATATATTATATATATATATGATTTGTGAACTTTTTACATAACAGTGTTAATTGTATTTTGTATATTTTTATATTTTTTTACTAATAAATTCTTCCATGTTGTGATAGAAATTATTACATGAAAAGAAAGCACCAATAGATATTTATACTAAATTCATAATTAACGACATAAATTATATGAAATTGTAAAAGACCTATTTATATTTATTAATGTTGTGTCATTGACTCACTATAAAACGAAGCAGTAGTAGTGTTTGTGCATCAATGTAACAGTTGCATGGACAAGAAAACTTAGGTGCAATATCTTGCTATATCCAAGGTTCCCTACCCACCTTCTATTTAATTTTCAAAACTTACGATGAAAATGAAATTAATTTTGCATCTGAACAGGAAGCAAAGTGGACAAAGAATTACATGCACCACCCTATATGCATTGTAATCGTTACAAACAAAGCTAAAACTGCTTAATTAAATAATTGTTTGTGACGTGCATGTACAAATGCAGACAAACTTTCAATAAAATGCAGCTTGAGAATGCAGTGCTTCAACTCACTGTCATTGTTTTTCTTATACAGACATTGAACATGTTGAAGCAAAAACGAGCAACCATCACTCTGAGAAGCTCAATGGGTGTGCATTTTATACACAAAAGGTATCGTATTCATGAGAAACAATAAACCGAACCCTAGAGGTTAAAAGTACCGACATTATGAAAGGAGGGAGGAAGCTCCGGGTACAAAAATCGGGGCTTTTATTAGGGCTGATGTCATCCACCCACGTAGAAAGTGGTGGAAGGGGGATGAGGAGCAATGCAATCGGGGAGACAACAGGGACGAGGAGGACGAGGAGGATCAGCGGAGCGTCATCGCAAGCAGCGATGGTGTACATCGAGAATTGGGACGATTTTCAAGCACGCTCATCTGCGCTCTTCCGCTCCGATCCTGTTGCTGTATCCACCGCTCTTTTCTGTGTAGTGTGCTGGGAGTAGCGACCATGAAGGGATTTTAGGGTTGTGGGTCTGGGTTGTGGGTGAGCTAGTGCAGGATGGGGATAGATAGCATGTTTCTTTGCAAGTAATCCGTGGAAGAGGTGGATGGTCTCACATTTTGTTTTATTTTATTTTGTTTTGTTTTTCTCTTTTTCGGTGTTTGGGATGTGGAATATGATGGAATGAGGTTGAAGCCTTAATTTCAGTGATTTAGACGCGGTATGTAATGAAATACAGGCATTGTGATGGCAAACTTGTTCTCAAAGTCACTGATGACAAAGTGGTGCGTTTTATTCTCTGTAATTACTCTCTTTGGACCCTGTGAGCTGCGTTGATTTGGTTGCCAGAGCTCGCTGTCTCTTAATTTCCTTACTTATTGAGTTGAAGGAGATGTGATGAAGTTTGCTGATTTTGTTAGTAGCTTCGCTACAATTTTGGTTCTTCCAGGTTTTGGGGATTTAGTTGTGTAATTTAGTTTCCTAAAAACCGTAAGAGACGGTTTTGGGTTTTTCGTTGTATGTGAAACATACTCTTCTGATCTGGAGTTGGGCTTTACCATGGATACTTAATTTATGCGGTGACTGTATTTATGTCCTTACGCACATTAAGTAAAGAATTCAGGTTGCTATGCACAACAATGCGTTGCGGAATATAAATAATACGTGTAAGAAAGCTGATAGAGCCACAACGCTTAGTCTTCCAGTCGCTCTAATACCCTCTACAGTTGGAATTGTTTGTGTTAATGTACACGATTTAATTTCGCAGGTGGACATTTTGCGCGACCAACGTTTTCTTATGTATGAAGTAGCTAATTTGCGTATCTTTATAAATTGAGGGGCTAGATTGTCATTTGGTTTTGCAGTGTCTGAAGTTCAAGACAGATCAAGCTCAGGACATAAGGAAGATGGAGAAGCTGAATAATACATTTTTTAGTATGATGGCCCGAGGACCAGATGGTGTGTACTATGTCTCATTTTTGACTTGTTCTGTGATGTGGATTCTTAAGTGAATGTACAAATGAATTAGGCTAACTCGGTTTTCTTGCTTTTTAGTAATTTTTTTTATTTCTCATGAATTCATTTGCCGCTGAAATCTTGATTTCTTTTCAACGATGGCAGCTGAGGTCCCGGAAGACTTGCCCAAGGAGCTAGTAGCGCCGCCACCGTCAAAGAAAGGAAGAGGACGGAGACAATGAATTTATGGATTCTATAGTTAGTTGGGTAGTCCTTTGTGTTCTGTTGAAGCGTATCCCCCTCCTTTTTCTGGGCGAGTATATTAAAAAGGCGTCAATACATTATCAGCAGTTGCTTCACACCTCTTACTAGTTTGAGTTTCTGGTATGATTCTCTTCGTCGCGTTTCTGTCTATTTGGTTTGCAGGATCTTAACCTAATGTCGAGGAGATGGAAGTTAAAGGTTGAGTTAAATCTCATTGAATGGCAGGTAAAACTCTGTTTCACTTCAAACAAATATCCATTTGAAACTCAACAAGTGCATGAATTCTATCACGGGATAAGACAATTGTATGCATTTCTTCGGCGTTATTCTGAATACGGTACATTGAACCTAAAACTGCACTAGTCCTTTCGGACGTTTTAGTTTTTTTTCGTGTTTTTTTGTCTCATATGACAATTTGGGTCCTGTTTCTGGTCACAAAAATGCAATATTTATGGGAGTTTGTAAAAATGTAGAAGTGATAAGTAAAAGAAATAAGAAAGGTTGTTCATAATCATAATATGCTGCAAAAGATCTGAAGCCATCTTGCTTATTTTTATTTCTTTTTAATTACTATTTATACAATGGAATGAACAGGACTTGTGTTTTAATTTTTTGTAAATTCTTATAAAGTGTGTTCCTAAAGTAATACTATAGTTAGGAAGTTCACGTTAACCAAATGACGACTGCTTAATCTACTCTTGACTACAAACAAACCGGCATTCTTGACCAGAATCCAAACAAGAAAACCTTCATTTACTTACTGCCAGTGTTCTTAGTGCTGCCGATGTCTTGCTACTTGTAACTATTGGCATAATACTTGAGCCACCAAAACCAATCAAGTTCTCATTCAAAATCATCACTCTATCATTCTAATTAGCTTCGCTTATTTCTCACGTCCTCAGTAAAGCTCTAATATTTCAGTTATTTTATCATCGTATGGTCCACGTATGTGTGGAAGAAAGGATTTTTCTTGTTTTCGCATTTCTGAATGTCTTTATGTAGTTCTATCATGTAGAAGTACATAACTCATTATTTGTGTTTTTATACTTTCTCAAATAACACAAGAACCTATTTGATACTCTTAACAAAATACGTCCAACTCACATGCTATATTGTATATCTTATATATGCAGTTTCGTATATCTTATATATCAAAGAAAATGGTGTTTTTATGTCCACATTTATTCAAACAATATTACATCTCTTCATGCATCTAATTATTTATGAATTCATTTAAAATTATTAGCCAATTCTTGTCTTATTTAAGTGTCTCAACAAATGAGAATAGTAGAAAGAGACTTGATCCCTAAGATTGATACTAAGAACCACACTCTATGAGCTTTAACTAAATTTGTAGTTCATTTTTAAAGAAACATATGGTATTCTTTCATTTTAATTTTGTTGATATGATCATGTATTAAAAAATAAAATCCTGTAATAATTTATTTTCACCTTCTCCAGAACCATTTAGGATCTCATTACTTTAGTGTATTAGTTTTGCGAAAAAAGAAAAAAAAAAAAAAAAAAAAAAAAAAGAGAGAAAGAAAGAGACTCCATTGTTAATAAGTGTATATATATATATATATATATATATATATACACACACACACATACAGTGTATATTTCTATTGCTTGACACATTTACTTGTATTTTAAATTCAGAATTGAATCAAATTATATATTTCACAATGTATTCTATTATTTCTTAGAGAAATTCAATTACAAAAAACAATCTTCAAGTCACATGAACAACACCAATTTTGTAAAAGCTTAGAATCAATATCCTTTCAATTATAATTGTACTTTTATTTCACCTCACAAAAGAAAATTACAATTCTTAACTATTTTTTAAAAAGTTGAGAAAATATATTGGTAGACCAAAACACTGACAGGTTATTTAATTTAAAAAAAACCTTAGTTCTGTTACAAAAACCATAAAGTTCAATATGATAATTTCTGCACTTTCATGTTCTTATTTTTTCAAACACAACTCACCAAATTTAATAGGTATCTCAGCAGGTTTCTTAAAATAAAAAGAACCATGATAACTAATCTTAAGGCAACTATTATCAAATCAAGCTTAATTTCCAATTGTTTGATGAACACAAGTAACATATCTCAATTTTTAGAAGGCTTGATTTTTACCATATACTTTAGGTATTTAGTTTCTGTTTACAAACCATGTGAAAGATACACACATGATAGTAGCAAATTTTGAATTCTCTTTGATGATGCACACCAACACATTTCCTGTGACCCCACCAAGTTTCATCTCCGAGATAAACATACCAATGCAGCTGTCCAAAACGATCGTATTGAACATGAACCCGCCACCCCAGGGGCTCGAACCCTGGACCACAAGGTTAAGAGCCTTGCGCTCTACCAACTGAGCTAGGACGGCTTGGATGACGACTGAAGCCTCAATTCTTTACTTAAATAGTTAAATTCCGCGTTATTTCGCTCGCCCATTGGTAGTTTTCCTTAACGGCGCATCCATAAAGTATTTCTGCCTAGCAGTTGCAATCAATCTAGTGGAATTTACACGAATGCATGAGGGAGAGATGATAGTATTCTAGAAAAACAAAAAAAAAAAAATCCACAGAAATGCAATTTGTTACGCGTACCCAATTCGATCTTACTTGAACAGACTCTGAGATCCAGTCGGGATATCGAGTCTCCGAGTTGTTGAGTGCTAGACGAAGCACATGTTGAAGGCTTGCATCGACTTGTTTGGCTGCTAACGTCTATATGTTGGAGGTGCGGCGATGCTGAAATTTGCTCTTCCAGATTCTCGCCGTGCCCTTCCACGTTCTCCAAGACTACCTGCGATTACGGGAGAGAGGAAGACACTTCGCGATGGAACCCAAAACATGATTCATAGCATTCGAATCTCTACAACCAAGGCTACAAGTTAGACGAAAACATAGTCAGAGAAAAACTGCTCCCGCACACGAATGACCCAGCTGGGTGTTCTGGGTCTGCACTCACATAACGAACAAGTTATCAGTAGTTTTCGCTCCTACATCAGTCCGTGCACACCCAACAAACTCGAAAACTCTACCGAACGAAAACCTAACAAAACTGTCAGGCCAGGGCTGATCGTCAAAGCAGAAGCGCCGCATGGTCGAGACGATCTTCGCCGTTTGCACACAAATCCGCAACCGCGACCACACAGCTCACAACTCAAGCAATGCCCTCAAGCGGCGGCAGAAACCAGGCACTCTCCTTGGGAGTATCCAAAGCATGGGAACTAGTGGGGAACATGAGTTCGCATTGCAGGGAACGGAAGAGAACTTCGTCTCTCTCTTTTCGAGATCGGTACGCGGGAAAGCAAAATTGAAGCTGAGAGAGATGGCGGGTGTTGTTGAGCTGTGAAAGTTGAGCTTCGATTATGGTCTCCGGAGTGTGGAGCTGAACTGCACTTATTTGTCTGACCCAGCCTCTTCTCCTGTCCTCTACGTCGTTCTGCGCGTGCGCTCGTTAGATTATGTTGTTTGTTTGTGATTCTCTAAATGTAGGGGTTGGATTCGTCGAGCAGGTTGTGACATTGAGTTGGATTTTTTGATGTGGCTTCGAGTGTTTGCGGTGTTGCGGATTGAGCAGTCAAGCTAGGTAGATGATGAGAGCGGGGAAGGTTTGAAGATGACGAGCTTGGAGAAGCTGATGCTGATTAGGATATTGGAAGTGGATGCTTTGTGAACTTAGGATTCGAGGCTGGTTGGGTTGAGAACTTTGTGGTGCGTATGCAGACGGTAGTTGATTGGGAAGACGCGAACGTGTGTCGATGGGATGTTTGTGAATCGGGTGAGATCATGTGTGCGACACGCTGAGCGCGTGCCGTGCGCAGTGTGGCTCGTTGTTTGAGGTCGGTCGGTCGTTGTTGGAGGTTTTGGGCTGTGAATTTGTTGTAGAATAGTGGGTGAAGGTGAGTGAGAGGGCATGAGGAGTTCACGGGGTGCCTCGAGGCCTCAGAGGCATGCCACAGTTGGAGTGACCTACAGGGAGAGCGATGACGATGACGGCAGATTCGCCCTCGATGCAAGACTATCCTTGGATGTTGACAGCAGGAGCCTAAGAAGTAGTGCACCTGAGGTCGAAGGATCAGCGATCGTTAAGAGTCGGAGGAGTTTAACTCTAAAAAGAGCAAAAGCTGTATGGCGATGTGCTTGATAATTGTTGCTGTCAATAATTCTTGACTTCCGTTCATTTCAATTTTTCTTTGCTGAAGTTTTGTTTATGATATTATGACTGAAAATTTGTTTCGCTCCTAGAAATGCTCGGAGAACTTTCTCAAGCAAATTTTAATTCAATTTTTATTGGGAAGCGCTCGTTTGCAGCTATTCTCCACTATATTCTCCACTATTTCTCATTAATGATTTAGAAATGATCTCTTAGTGATTAACAGGTTTCTGCTGATTCACCAGGAACTTCCTATGACTGTGGCAAATGATCACATAGATATCGATGCAATAGCTGAAGCGGTGCCCCAGGAGAAGCCAGTGCAGCCTCCCGATTATCGACACCATTTCCTGCAGGGACTGGAGTCCTGCAGAGTTGCTGTGAATGTGCCCAATTCAGAGAGAGATAACAGCGTATTTGGATATTTACTGGAAGCCATCAGCGGCCCAACTGGTGATGGTGATGAAGGAAGTGTTTCCGTAGTCCATCAGTCCGATGCACTAAAATCAAGCCGTCAGCACGCAAGAACAGAGCAGGAGGTACGTAGTGTATGCATTCGTGGTTTGAGGGAAGGGTTTACAAAGTGCTATCTTCAAATCGTCTTGTTAATATGGTCAATGTGGCATGTGGAAGGAGCATCTCTTTTGTCAGGTGACTTGCCCAAAAGTCCTGTGATCATGTTGTACTTTCGATATAATTGGTTGGTGAGCGTATATGGGGAAAGTGAAAAGATCTAGTATCGTAACATGCGGACGAGGTTATTTTTTCAATTGAAACTACCGAAACCATTAGTCATATATGTATGGTCTTATTTAAGTGAGTATGTTTATGGATTTTTGTTCTTGTCTTAATCTACAATATTTACTGGTCTGGAATATGTAAAATTGCAGGAAGGAACTACTTCGGCTGCCTACGGTCCCGAACTTCTTGAAGCTTATTCCGTCTTTGAACGTACTCTTAATGCTGTTAAAGTAGTGCAGAGAGGGGACATAAAATCACCAAACACATCGACAGCATTGCCACATTCTTCTGATGAGGTGTGAACAATGCGCATTAGTTCCATGGATGGAATAATTCATTGAGCCATGATGATATGTAGGATCAGCATATCTGTGCTAAACGGTTAGGTAATTGCATTGTTTGTCATACATGCATCTGAATGTGCTTCATTGGGTTCCCTGAATAGAGTATGATGTTTCTCATGAGGCTATTGTAATCCTGCAAAGCTATTCTGTTGCTGAAGGCTTATGTCATTATTCGATTCTCCCAGGCAATCAGGCTAGCCAGTTCAAGCACAGACAAATCGATGAAGTATATGGTGGAAACTGAAACGGCTAGGAACGGTGTACAGAATTGTATGCCTTCTGCAGATGAAAACATTGATAAGGTTAAGGAAGACAAACAAGTTGACCTATGTTCTGACGGTGGAAAGACGTACTGCAAGAGGGGTAATAACGACGAGCAGCATAACATGTCCGCAGATCAGGAAAAAGACAGAAAAAAGGGCGAAGAAGATGGCCAGTATAACATGTCTTTTCCACGTGAGGGAGATGAAGACGCTGAGACTTCTTGGAATGAAATTTCAGACGCTCCAGAGTCTGGAATTCAGAGGTCTATGAAAGAGAAGAAGAAAACTCTAAGTCCAGTCAAGAAACAGAGCCAACAATCCAAGACCATCGTGAGTAGTGCTGCACTTTATTTAACTTGACTAGACCTCCACAGCTGCAGGTTTACCTGGTTTAATTTTTACATGCTCAAGAATATCTCAAGTGTTCTGTCGTGCTCACTAGACATCATGAGGCTTGATCTGCTTTTCTTTTTTTTTTAAGACACAAAGTCGCTACTTATTTGAAAAGGGGTAATTGCACTAAGAATGGAGTTGCATGCCAGAGACCTTGAGTGTCCCTCAGTTAGCTTTCTCAAATGCAACCTCTGGAAAAAATTATATTTTCATGGGTTTTAGAGTTTTATCTTCCCATATTTATTGCAGGCAAAGAAGACTAAGGTTCTGAAAGAGGATGTGAATACGGCAGGACTTGTCCATGAGCCCGTAAAGTCGACCAGTATGGCCCTGTACACGCTGCCTTCGCTATTTTGAGTAGTAACTCCTTATTTTATAATCGTTTTTTAGGTCTATGTTGACTCAAGACCTAATGGTGTACTGCATTTCTTTGACCACGTCTCTTCTAGTTCTCACTGTCCATCGTCACGATGCAGGCGTTCTACCACTGCTTCCTAAGAAGAAGCCTGCTACTTGGGTTGGCAACAAAACTTTTGTCTCTCCAGGTACTCCATTTTTTTACCCACTTCATTTCGCAACCTTTTCTCTTACTGATATAGATAAATAGTTAGTCTCATGCATTTAACGGGATGTAATTCCGATCTAGTTGTTGTAGAGTTTGTGATTTGGATATTGTGAAAAGCCTTCCAGAAGCTGCAGGCTCTGAACAATTGTCTGGTTTTGGTAAATTATTCTGCTGGGCAGTTCCTGCACCTTTGAATTCGCCTTCATCAACTGTCCCACATAGACGAGTAGTGGGACTTTCTCGGCGTCATCGACCTCCACCACTGCACCCTTATCTATTGGGATCATAAAGGCTGGAGATGCCTCTTTCAGAAATATTGAAGCAAGTCCTGGTCTGTGCCTCCTGCTAGTTATGAGGATAAGTTATGGATCATGTATCGAGAGTTTATACGTGTGGGGAGGTAGAGCAACAAAGTGGCTCCACTCAATCACTCCACCGCTGCACTACTCTAAATCGGACCCTTGACGTACTGCTGATGTCTCACTTCTGGCGTGCCTGAGGTACACATGGAGGGTGCGTTGTGAAGACATTTACTTTATTTGGGTCAATTTTTTTTAGGGCGGGACGGTCCCTACAAAAGAACCAACCCTGTAACATATCTTGAAATATATTTGATCACTGCATTGCAGTGCCCATCTCTACCCTGTACTAAAGTACCCTACTAATTCTCAACTGGAAAAGTTCTTCATTCCCTGCCCAAGACCTGGTTGTTTTGTGTAGAGAATAGCATATTCTGCAGCAGCTTTTTCTTTGGCATTCAGGTGATTCATGTGACTCAACTAACATAGTTATGTCCTAATACTTCAAACACTGATGGGTGGGTGAAAAGGATTGAGTGTGTTCAGGGAAACACATGATTGTCTCAACCTGCTGCACTATTCCTTCTATACAGTAATTCAATCGGACATCAGAATGCTTGAAAGGAAAAGGTATGAGTCAACATCTACTGCATGGAATTATAAATGAGCAATGACTAATTTGTGTACATGGAGAATTATGAATTAATGTAGATGAAATGTTATGAAGAGCCACTCTGCTAATCACGCGAGTTTCTAGTTTGGCACCTGCAATAGAGGGCATTGGATGGGATACGGGAGCACCGTAGGACATCCGGTGAGGACTGCCGCCACGGACATGCAGCGGCTTGAGGATGTAGGTGAGACAATAGAGTGTTCGCTTAGCACTTCTTCATAGCTTCTATAGCTCAATTGGCTAGAGCACCCGTTTAGGAAGCGGGAGGTCCTCGTTTAGGAAGCGGGAGGTCCTCGTTTAGGAAGCGGGAGGTCCTCGTTTAGGAAGCGGGAGGTCCTCGTTTAGGAAGCGGGAGGTCCTGAGTCCAACTCTCAGTGGAAGCAAGAATTGTTTCTCTATCAGTGGTAAGAAGTGCAAACAAAGGTGGAAGTTAGGGTTTTATTGAACGTCGCCTCGCGTCTCATCAATGCAGGGCCGTCCTCCCTCCGCTGGATGATTCTTCCCCACCATGTCTCTCTCTCTCTCTCGCTGTTTATCTGCCCTTTCTGCCCATCCCCTTTTTAGCATCTGTTTTTGCCGCTCCCTTTCTCCCTCTCTTTCTCGCTCTCACCCAGACTCCATCACCTCCACGCACCGCATTTCCCCTTCTTGCATGCTTTCCGCTGCACACATGGCACCACTCAGCGCCTGCAAGGCTCCTCGCCTCACCCTGTCTGCCTTGCCTTGCCTCGCCCTGTCCGTCCTCTCTACGCTCCCACCGCGGCCCTCACCTACTCTCTGTGATGTGCATCTTTACGCCCATCCCACCTGATTGATGCCATAGAATCAAACTCCATGACAACCGTTTCTCAACCTTCCCTCATGCTCCATTCAACATCCCAACCCTTGTCATCCGTCACACAATTGGATGTGTGCCCCCCTCCTAACCAAGCCCACTCCACCGACCCAAAACCTAATTTTTCAAAATGCCAAGGTCCATCGTTTCTTTACCATTTTTACATTCCACTTTGTCTGAAGCTTCTAAAGTTCCAAGAAGAAGGCACATGGAAGGTTACAATTTAGAATAGCTCCTTGCAAAATCTTTGGGAAGGCACTTAGTTGGAGTAAGTTTTGTTGGATGAGGTCTATCTTAAATTTGGTGGTCATAGGATGCAAGCACTTCACTTTCTTTTGTCTAATCCATGAGGAGGTTCAATTTTGTTCTATGCATACCAGACCCCTCCTCCTACCAATTTGATCTAGAATCATCAACTTTGTCTTTTACTTTTGCAACGTACAATGCCATCTGAGTTGTAGCCTTGAAACAATTCTAAAAAGTAAATAAATAAACGTTCACAATGCCTTAAGATTGCTCCTGACAATAAGGTTAAGAATATGGCTTTGCATATGGCTTTGCAATGTGGCCAAGGCTGCAATTGCAAATCTTTCGTGCAATGTCAAGAGTACAGCCTTAGCACAACTCCACACAGCTTCTTCTATCTAGTATGCTTGTCAAAATTTTAATACCAAACCAAGAAATTTGGACCTAGCCAAACTATTGTGTTGGGTAATCATTCATTAAGAACATCCGTCTACAACACATCCTCCCCAAATACAAAATTAAGATTTATTATGTTTCACCTATGTACCTTATAGGTGCTATTCCCTTTTGCCATTCCATTTTACTAAGTCCCTTTTACCATTCCCTTTAACCAAATGCACCATCTCCTTTTGGCAAAAAAGGCACCTCCAAAGTCAGTGCAATGAATGTGTCTCACAAGTGCTATTCCCTTTATAGAAGGGCAGGTATGAAATTTAACCACGAGGACAGTTTCCGATGGGTGAGACTTTTCAGGTTGACCAGGTTGCATTGTCTTCATCTCTGAGTTTCATTGTGTCAGTAGGGTTTTTGCAACTTGGGCTCATTGCAGAATCTCAACGTAGTGGAGAGTAATGGGTTTGAAGACTTATTTCTGTACAGGGGAGGTTTTTATCAGCGAGAAGAATTCTTAACTGGATACAGACAGCAGTAGAAATAAATAAAAATAAATGATAACCAAGTGTTGCACACATATACTTTGACAGCTGGTTTAAAGTTCCAGGAGGATGAATAAGAGAAACTTTTCTTAATGACATCAATTTAGATGTTTCTGCCAAAAAAAATTCCTTAAACAGTTGCGAGTACAGATAAATGTCTATCTACGTCAACAATACCACCTATCCTTCTGACGCTAGCGTAAGTGTAAGCCTGATTATCAGTTAGAATCTCCATTTCGTACCTCAGGTTACCCAAGGGAAAGGCGATTGTACGCTTGTGATATAGAGATTGAGGCACTCAGCTGGATAGAGATCCAAACCACGCATTATGATACAAGGAATCAATTGTTCAGGAACTCTACAAACGTGACGCAGGCTTCCAAGGACAGCCTCCGTCGAAAGCCTGGTTTAGCACGTCCTCCATCCGCTTAGCAAGTATTATCTACAACACAGTGCAGCAGATGACAACTTTATCAACAAAGCATTTACGCATCCATGTGTGAGAAGAATCAAACACTTGCTCACAAAAAACTGCATTAACTACAATGGGTGAAGTTCACTAACCTCCATGCTGCTGAGAATGCCAGCAGGAACCTCTTGGAGATCTTTGCGGTTGCGCTCAGGCAGAATAACTCGTTTAATACCGCACCTATGAGCAGCTAGAATCTTATCCTTAATGCCCCCAACAGGGAGAACGAGCCCCCTGAGGGTCATTTCCCCAGTCATGGCGGTGTCTGCTCTCACGCTACGCTTGGAAAACAAGGAGACCAATGCAGTGACGAGCGTCACCCCTGCTGATGGCCCATCTTTGGGTACTGCGCCCGCTGGGAAGTGAATGTGAATGTCGCGCTCCTTCATCAGGCTCCCGGCCTCTGCAACCGGTAGTTTCAGCTCTGCAGACCTCGCGCGCACCTGAAGATGATGCAGCAATTAATAATATTACTCACGTACCAGTGGACAGGAGCGATCATTCGAAATGGTTGATTACTGGTGGAATTCATGCCCTGAATGATTAAAAGCAAGGGTGCATGATGGTGTGGTGATTCTTACCCAAGTGAGAGCAATGTGAGCTGATTCTTTGATAACATCCCCCAACTGCCCTGTGAGATGCAAATCCCCCTTTCCTAACATTGCAGTAGATTCTACGAAGAGAACCTCCCCACCCACTTCTGTCCACACCAATCCTACGGCAACGCCAGGAGCGGCTACTCTCTCTGCTGCCTCTCTCCCATCAAACCTCGGTGGCTGCACATGGCAAGAAAATTATAAACCCCTTGCGCATTTTCATGCTGTGCAATCTGCGGGCGTAGCTCAACAACATTTCAAAGAGATTCATCCTAGCAAAGGAAGAACAAAATGCTAACATACAGAAGAAGAAGCAGAAATCCTAAATCCTACCCCCAAGACAATGTCAAGCACCGCCTCGTCCACAACCAGAGGCTCTGGTTTGGCTGTGAGTGGCTGAACCGCTTTTCCTCGGACAGCTATGGCCTCTACTTCCATCTCCCCCTCGACGCTATGGCCTCCTCCTCCATGATCCATCATTTCCGTTTGCATCTCACGCATGAGTCGGTCTGACTGCTCCTTCTCCGCCACTTTCACTGCTGCAGCACGGGCCAACGCGGCTAAGTGACGCCCTAAATTACGAACTCCTGCCTCTCTAGTATAACGTTGAATGACGAGCTCCACAGTTGCCTCTGGTATAGAAATATGCTCATGTGTGATGCCGTGTTGCTCAAGTACTCGAGGTATCAAATGACGCATTGCGATTCGCAGCTTCTCTTCGGAAGTATACCCTGGTAGCTCGATAACCTCCATGCGATCCAACAGCGGAGCTGGCATTGTTTGCATTCTGTTTGCCGTTGCGACAAAGACCACTTTCGACACATCGAAAGGTACATTCAAGTAGTGGTCATTGAAAGTCTTGTTCTGTTCGGGGTCCAGGACCTCCAGCAGTGCAGCGGCAGGGTCACCTCGCACATCGGCTCCCGTCTTGTCGATCTCATCAAGTAACATTACGGGATTGTTGACTCCGACCCTCTGCCATCGCCAACTGTAAGTATCAACCGCGTATTGCAAGAGAATAATCTCGGAATTTCTGAAAGAGACTTGCAAAGTTACGAAACAAGAAATTGGGCATGTCCTTGAGAGTTTTGCGGATTGAATTTACAATAACGTACTTTGATCCCGTCAATGAGGCGGCCCGGCATGCTTCCTATATAAGTGCGACGATGACCTCGAATATCAGCTTCGTCTTTCACGCCGCCCAAGGAGATACGAATGAAGCGCCGGCCCAGAGCTCCGGCGATAGAGGACGCTAGAGAGGTCTTGCCAACCCCTGGAGGTCCAACGAAGCACAACACTGGCCCTCTGGCATCTGGCTTCAGCTGCACCCAACACCATGTCCATGATTTAATTACTGCTGCAGTCCAGCTCCAAACACGGCGAAAAAATCTGAAAGGAGCTAACTATTCAAGCAATTTGAAGAGCCTTAAAGGGGAGACAATACTTTGCGAACAGCAAGATATTCGATAATCCGTTTCTTGACTTTGCTCAAGCCATAGTGCTCGCTATCCAAGCGTACTTTGGCAGCCTCTAAATCAATTTCGTGCTCCTCGCTAGAAATTTGCCACGGCAATTCAGCCAGCAACTCCAAATATGTGCGAGAGGTTGCATAGCCGGGCTGCTGAGGCTGCATCTTTCGCAGCCGCCTGCCCAACAGCAACTCATGTGTTCAATTCAAACTCAATTTCTTTCACTGCAGCTAGAATATCCCAACTCCGGGCCGTCCCCTGGGACGAGCTAAGATCTACGCGTTTCGTTAAGAAATTCACAGCATCAAAAACGTAAATCTTCATACTCTAACTAATTGACAGAAGTTTCATGTGATGAAGGCGGAAAACAAGCAATATCATCTAGAGTCAGAAACTTCTACTCCCGGTAAGCAGGCGTCCGAAGAGCCCCGCCTGGACTCTTCATCAATCGAGACCTTCTAAAAGAATAGAATCGAAAATCAGCCAGATCGGATTCTATTTGCTAATTGATCGACGTGATACCTAAGCTCTCGCTGTGCATGCTTCCAAACATTGGTAGGCATGTCTGCCTCTTGCATTTTCTTTTCCAAAGAAGCCACATCGTCGTCGTCCTCATCGTTCTCGCCCAGCTCGTCTTTGATTGCCCTAATCTGTCAATAAACACACAAACACCCACCAACGCCTTCATTTCAGGATCAACGAAAGCAAGAACTTAACACGATAGGCAGCCACAGCCACGTATGAGTCCAATCGAGCCTCTACCTGCTGCTGCAATAGCTCCCTTCGCGTCTTCGCCATCGGCCTATCACTTTTCGCAGATAACCCTACCATTGTCTCTCCTGCAATTCAACCTCTTCCAAAATACAACATTAGGAACAGCAATCGGTCCCGGAGAATTCATCAAATCAAATCCATACTCTGTCTGGTGCCATAACCATAACCATTTAGACCTCGAAGAATCAAATCACAACCTGCAGATGCTTCTTCTGGGCATTGACGTGGACGATGTCAGAGCAGCATTAGCATTGCAGTGATCTGAAAAGGCAAAGCCAAGGCTTACTCTGTTTCGCACAAAGAAGGATTGCAGCTTAAGAAGGAAGTGTGCTGGGCTTTTACTGGTAGTAAGAATATTCAACATGCCCTTTACTGTTCAACACTTTTCTCAAAATTCCCAAACATATGATGTTGCGTGTACGCCGAACCCCGACATTTCGTATCAAGCCTCCTTGAGACTAGATCGCACAGTGTTGAATCATTAATCTCAGTCGCTAGTAGAATACAACCAATTCTTGGTCATGAGCCTCGTCAGCGTCGTGCGATAATAAATGCTCTTTTATGCAACTCTGATTTAGAAGGATTGGATCGTTTCTTCTAACACCAAGCTTTTTGGGTTTCGTCCTCGCCAGCCCTCAGTGTAGAATTTCACTACATCACGGAGTTAATGTCGATGATTTTATCCCGAATTGCAAGTTTTAGACGAATCTTATCCTTCTGCTACAACGTATGTCGTTACCGAACCTGAAAACTAGCACCAGCGTCGAAGAAATCGGAGGTTTAGAACCAATCGGAGGATTAGTACTCTAAGATCACGTCCAGCCTCGTCACGCCAACCAACCAGGATGCGGAGGTGTTGTTCTACTCAAAGCCGTAGTTCCTTACTGGATCAAGCTAGGGATTGTTCCACTCGAGCTTCGTTGGAGGGGAGAGTTCATCGGGGCAAGCAATGTCGACCAAGCCTCAATCCACAAGAGCGTCTTTCTCGACCTTAAAGTGGCGATCTGTACATGCTGCGTGAGGGAGACCTGCATGACAGGAACCGGTTTACGTCATGGAGCTGGTGACAGAATTTCCCGCGGCGGAATGTTGGCGTTGTCGAAAAGTCGAGTGGAATCCCGCTTATAAGACGCCCAGATAATCTCCTCGTGTGATCCCCCTCCTGTGATGCACACACCACCCTGGTTTCTCGAAAAAATTCTCTGGAGCTGCGCGCATGGCGGGGAAGAAGGGATGTCGGATCATCCCTGCGACGGGGGTTCCTGCCACACTCCTTGCGCTTCACACTCGACAGATGGGTTCCATCGAAGGACTGTATTTCTCTGAAGAAGAATACGAGGCCATCGTTTGTGGTGCTGCGGAGGAGCTACAGTAGCAAAAGCAACCCCCCCCCCCCCCGCACGAGCGACGATAGGCGGCAGCAGGCGCCGCGCTGCCGCGACTCCTTGCGTCGATCCCATAGCCGACTCTCGAACCCGCGGGCTCTCAAGCCCGTGCACAGTGTGAACGAGTATATCCAGATTCCTTTAATGAGGGCCTATCCATTAATGGAGTTGTAAAGGGAACAAAAAAAATACTAATTTGATGATGAGTTGTGATTATTTAAAACTGTGTTTCTATTGGGAACTTGAGAATGTCAGAAAGCTTTGAAAGCCACAGGTAATAATATAGTACTGCCACTAAAAAATAGATTAAGAAGAATACAAAGTTGTTTTAATAGTTTATAGATGTAGTTGAAGTTTTGTTTATAGCCATGTCAAAGATTCTTAATTTTTCAAATAAACATACATGTATTCATTAAGATTGTATCATGCTTTTAAAAATGTTAGTATACAAAATAAAAAAATATCAACTACATATATAATAGTGACCTAATAAGATAAAATTGATGAATTTTTAATTGTTTGTTATATAAAAATTCTAAAAATTTCATCAAAGTTTTTGTAAAAAATGAAGAAAACATTATTTTTTGATAATGAAAAACAAAACCATTAATTTAAGGAAAAATATCAAATATATCTATCAAATACCTTGAAATATCAAGAATATCCTATATTTTTTAATAATAGCAAATGTATCCCTTGTAGTGATATTTTATCATATACAAGAGATAAATTTATTATTATAAAAAATGCAAGGATATTTTTGATATTTTATGGTACTCAAGGAAGGGATATATTTTATATTTTATGGTACTCAAAGAAGAGATATATTTGATATTTTTCTTTTTTGGAACATTGCAATATTGGAAGATGTTAATGAAATGGGTATTTCAAAACCCTCTTAACAGTGTCTATCTACATTGTATGGTATTATGCCAAAAGCTACATCTATAGAAGACCTCTAAGTATATGTGTGTGTATAAAATCTGATCATTTTAGAAAGAACTGCAAGCTTGATTGCCAAATAACATTGGTGTGCAAGAAATGGAGTGCAAATACACACACTCACTACAAAAACCACCATTTAAATAACTATCTACAAATATTAATCACCAAACAAGGATCACTTGGCAGTGGCTAACAATAGTTGTTGGTGAAGTGGTTATCTAATAATAGTTATTGGTGAAGTATTTGTCTAATAATAGTTGTTGGTGAAGAAATTCTGCACTCCATCATCATCCCTTGAGCAATCTAAAAGGCAACACCTTCTTTTATAGATCTGCAAGCAAAAAGGTACATTGAGAGTGATTATTAGATTGCATGTCTTGCTCATCCATTTCTTCATTGTTAGAAACAATAGTGTATAAAGTTGTGCTTATATGTCAATTTAAAGAGATAGCCTTCTTGAGTTAATTACCTACATACAACATTTCTTAATGCTATATTATGATGATATCCATGATTGTGTTTTTAATGGAGTCAAATCCATTGACATTGTTCACCTTGGTTCTTGTATTCTAATGAAAAGTACAAACTTTGTACATAAACTCCTCAATGGTGAGAATGAAGTTGAATTGATGCATATGAATGATGATATCCATGTCAAGCCTTAGTTTCTAACTAGTCCTTATGTTGAGCAAGCAAATATTCAAACATGGGAGACCATTTTGCATAGTGTATGGCACCAACTATTGAAAATAATGTCTAGAAATCCACAAATGTATATTCAACTTATTCTCTTCTCATCATATTGTCTCTCTCTCTATTGACTCTATACCTAGTTCAATCAAAGGAAAATATCAAATATATCCCTCTTTTGAATATCCTAAAATATCAAGAATATTCCTAAATTTTTTATAATAGCAAATGTATGCTTTGTATATGATAGGATATCACCACAAGGGATACATTTCCTATCATAAAAAATGTATAGGTATTCTTGATATTTCAAGGTATTTGATGGATATATTTGATATTTTTTCTTAATTTAAATAATATTTTTGTAATTGAGCCTAAACAAGATATTAGTGTATACATTCCGCAAATTTATACTACAACTAGAGAAGAATAAAAATTTCTTGATGGAAATAAATTTGTGTTTTTGAACATTCAATACTTATTTATAAATTTATAAATTTTTCAGACAACTAATAACATAAACATTGTAGTATACATAATTCAAATATTACACAATTTTTTGCCTTTGATCTTAAATGGTTTGAAGAAACAAATATTCAATATATTAGAATTTTGATAATTATAAAAAATCACAAATTTTTACTAAAAACAGTGATAAGCTATAATTTTTTAAAATAATTTTATGTGTGTATGCATATATATATATATATATATATATACATAGAATGAAATTCAGCATAGCCATGTTTCACAGATTTTGTATTGAGAAGTGTTAAACATCTTTACAAATAGTTGTAAGAAAGATCTACTCCCAAGAATGAACCAAATGAAGTTGTTGGAAGTTTTTCCAATAATAATTAATAGTTTTAAATTTATTCAATATCACACCATATAAATTTTAAGAGATATAAAACAAAGATATTAAAATAAGGAACATTATAAATAAAATATTTTCATAATAATTTGTGAAATGCATGGAATATATATATATATATATATATATACACACACTCATGCTTACATTCATTTTGCATAAGCAAGGATGAGTTTAATCTTAGAAACAAATAATGCAAACCTAAAATAAGGGGCATAAAGAAGCCCTCTTGTTGATGAAAATCTGTAATTTGTTTTCATCAACAATATCAATTTTCAGTTATAAGTGACATGTATGTGTGTGTGTGTGTGTATATATATGTAAGTATGAGGAATGTTTTTGGACCCATAGTATTGTCACAAAAAATATCCTCAAAAAACTAATTAAAACTCAAAATTACTTTTGTGCCCATCTATAAAAGTTTCCATTAGTATGTAAATATGTATGCAAACATTCATACATACAAATCCCATATTTCTTCACACCACCCATCCAATTTTGTTTGTCTTTTCAATGGGATAGAATGAGTCCTTTGATGAACACGGTTCAAAAACTTGGTCTTCAATGCTCACACAACCTTGAGTCATGAACTCACAATCAACAACATGATTTAGTGTGGAAAAAGAAATTAGGGATGAATTAAAAGATAAATTAGAGTTAATTATTTATATGCAAGTCAGTTTTAAATAAAATAATTAACTTTTAATATAAATAGGAACCTGTAACATAATTGCTTCTAAAATTTTTACTATCAATTAATGTAAATTGTTACTACTTGCTATTAATGCAAATACATGCATTGACACCTTTGGTTGTCATTTCTTGTTGAAACCATTGATGCAAGCACTAATGTTGTTGATGCCTATTCGTACTATTTGGTAATATTACAATTACATATGTTGATGTTATGGACTATTGCTAGTTGCGATAATAAATCATAATACAATAAATATAGCAAAAAATAACTCAATCACATTTTATCAATACTAAATAGTAATCTGAATTAATAATAAATATCTAATTTTGGTATAAGCGAATAGAAAAATAAATAAAATCAAATAAAATCTATTCAAAATAATTCATTTTTTATACTAAAAAAATTTACCTTTGTACTAAAAATAAAAAAATTATTATTATTGTTATTATTATTGTATTTCATCTAGCCAACAAAAATTTATACAAAGAAGAATCTCTATTTGCAATCTATTTTGTTTTGCATCTTACTTACTGGTCTTTTGGTTTAGACAGGTCAAAACTGAAGAAAGTTTTATATTGATGTTTTGCTTTGCTTTTAATGATTTTCTTTTTGGAGATCAATGTAAAGTCTATTATGTGTTTCTTTTGACGGCATTCTTTTAAGTTTTTCTACGTCTCTTTACTCTCTTTTATTTGTACTGAAATAATTTTTATAAACTTTTAATCTTTTTTGTATTTTTTTTGTAATTTTTTTTATTATTATCTATTTCTCATTAAATTAAATAGATTTATTAGTGTATGTATCTTTAAAGTGTTATATACTTGGTTTATACTTAAGAAAACTTATATAGCTAAGAATGCTATTTGAATAGAGAAGCTTAAAAAGAAGAGATTAGATAAAGATGTAATTGTTTTGATATAATATTCTAAGATGCTAAATCATTAGAAAGTAGTATAGAATCTTTATAATGTTGCTAAAATCCAAATATTATTTCTTTGATTGTTCTATAAGTGCTTCATTTCATTGAATGGTAAAAAGTAAGTATGTAGGTTTAAATATTTTTTGAAGGATTTTAATTTTATTTTTTAATAATTGATATATTATTATTTTAAAAAATAAAAAATAAAATAAAAATAAATATTTTCATATTGTATTAAAATTATCTCTAATTACTCATATTAAATTATCTAATAAAATATAATAAATTTATTTTAATATCTAATTTTTTAATGAATTCTAATTCTTACTTAGATATGTCTAATTTCCATCTTTTTTTAAAATTATATTCTAAAATCAACTAAAATATCTTATTATTATTATTACTATTTCCTATATATTTTTAGTCAAGATTTGCTTCAAATAAATAATATTCAACATCTTTTCTTAAAGTGCATCTAAATTCTCTTATATTTATTTTTTTCACTTATTATCTTAAAGTGCGAGAATATTAGATAGTAATTGTAAACATCTGATAAATAATTATATTAGAAGGATTTTTATATCTTTAGAAATTATATATTAAAGTTTATATTTTAAAAATACTATTTTTTTAAAAAAGAAAGAAGTTGTCTATGTACTTAAGAAATATTTTTAGTCAAAGGTGTATACATTATTAAAATCAAGAATTAAGTTTGAGCTTCATGAAATAAATAAAATCAAATTTTGGTTTTTTTTTAGAGTAACTTCTTTAATCTTTGTCCAATTTATATTCCATATATCTAAGTAGAAGAAATTTCAAGAA